TTGTGAGATGTTGAGGTTCCCACATTATCTAGAAAATCGGCTGAAAGATGGCGGTAAGGTTGTCAGCCTTACGCGCCGGCAGCGCTTTACACCCCAGGAAAATTATTTATTTAATTCCTGGTACTCATTTGTGTGAGAGGCTGAGTGAACCCCAGGGCCAAGTGCAGCCAGAAGGTTTAGGTCAATTTAAAAAAACCCAATGATCTTATCGGTATTTGAACCCGTGACCTTCCGACCTTCCTTAACCACTACGCTACCGGGTGTCCCACTGTATAAAGAGTAATTCTATTAAATCAGTTTTGTACTGATCAGCCTCACGGGAGCCGGGATAGCTCAGTCGGTATAGCGATTGGCTGTGGGTTGGACGACGGAAAGGTCGGAGTCTCGGTTGGCTTAAGAATTTTCTCTTCTTCATGTTGTCCAGACCGGCTTTGGGGTCCACCCAACCTCTCCTGTACAATGGGTACCGGGGGCTCTTTCCCCCGGGAGTAAAGCTGAGCACTCACCTCCAACTAGTTCCGAGATCAAGAAAACATGGATCTATACACCCACTTCACCATACGCCTCCATTATGTAGTACTTAGTTAAGTACAGGGACAAATTTATCTTTTAATTATGAACTTCACGGAACAGAGCGATGCTTGAAAATTCACTAATCGTTCAGCTAGTCGAAATATTCTCCGACTTTTATGGAACCCGAAGGTTCGCTAAAGTGCTCACAACAGCCCACTACTGGGCCTGTCCTATTTCTGTACGATTTGTAGCAGGTGGGACTGCTGCGAGTTGCAGGTCTACCAAATAGGCCTAATTAAACCTACTGGTCGGTAAAGACTAGACAGTCGTTCTGCATAGCGGCATAGCGCCTACGCAACGTCACAGGTAGTAAGCCTGGGTACGAGCAAAACCACAAACGCATTAAAAAGCGATTTAAAACGCGCCGGAGTCTGAACTCTTTCTGCGACATATTAATTCTATTGATCTTTAGGGAGGAAATCTTGACAGACATACTCTGTTAATATGACGGCGGCGAATAGTGGTTCAAATATGTAAGGCAGCAATGGTTTTATTTATTTAATCATTAAAATAATTAGATTTGATGCAATAAACTTCTCCATATAATTATATTAAATCAGTTTTACAAATGAGACTGCATTTTTGTCAAATGCGGATTTCAAGAATAAACAGAGTTCCATATATATAATTTGTTGGGGGCAAAAGCGGGAGTAGCTGCATGCGCACCTTTTTATTTGTACAGGGCCTAAACACGGAAAAATTTGTGGATGCCGCACAGAGAGATCCATGTTTTCAGAAGTACAATGCTATAATGATATCCCAGTTTTTCACAAGGCCTTGATGCGCGGCGAAATTATCAAGAACGTAATTCTCGCGTTTGGCGAGAAATTGTTGTGGCTCTGCTACAACTCATATCAAAGCTTTCTGCCTTCAGGATAGTAATAAGGCAGATTCGTGGCGGGTTTGACAACCACGTATGTAAACATAGCATGAAGGCTATTCCTCACCCTGTGATATGATTCACAGTAGCTTACCGGAGTCTCGTCTCCAGTCAACACACAAACGTTCCAGCACTCGTAGCAAGCCCTAGATATGAAACATAACGTTACACGAATCTGCATTATATCCACTAACCTAGCCTATAGACAAGAATTACTGGCACAGAGCTTATAATAATCTGATAGTAACTTACGTATGCCTGAATAACCTTTAATCTCCTTTTGGCTTCTACGAGTACATGACAAAATTTTATCATTATATTTGATAATTCAATCCAAATTTGGATTTACACATAGATAATAAAGAATATATAAACGTGTTTCAGTGAATTTCAGAAATTCGTCTCCCGAATTAATAATAATATTATTATTATTATAGGTCTACAGTCTTTTGTCGGGCCTTGGCCGCTTTTTCATTTTTGATCCTATACTCAGTCAGTAGAACTCCTTGAACGGGGTATCAGCCCGTTGCAAGGCCTCTACCTATACAATGAACAACATAAACACAGGATAAACACGCACAGGCATTCATGACTTGAGTGGGATTCGAACACACGATCTCAGCGTTCGAGCGAGTGAAGACAGTTTATGTTTTAGTCCGCGTGTCCACTGTGATCGGCCGAAAGGCAATGTACTGCGCTTACACTACACAATTTCTCGTAAAATATGCCTACAGATCGAATATCTGAAAATAAAAAACATGTTATTGGTAATCACTTCTGGTACCTTACAAAAATAACTTTCATTCCTGAAGAATTCCTTTCCATGACAATTAGCTGTTTGCATAACTGCCTGCAATAGGCCGGTCACTTCCCCTCCCCAAAATCGCACTCACTATTTCTTCTGGTGCTTGATTTGTCTGGGTCCACCATCTGTTACAAATAATGAAGCCTAGTGAACGTACACAGGCCTCCGTGCGCTACACTCTCACAAAATATGACGAGTTTAGGAAGCAAACAACTGAGCAAATATAGTTAAATGTTATAAGCGAAGCTCCACAAAAATGTCAGCTTTCTTTAAGTACCCGGCAGATCTGGGCACTATGACATGGTGCCGATGGGCCAGTCGTCACGTTGGGCCACTTGCAGGCGCTTCAAGCACGTGACACTCCTGTACATAAGCGAGCCGGTGCTGCTCTGTGACGGTGATCACTGATTCCAGACGAAATTTGGAAAGAACGGCAAACGTCACTCACTCGATCACCGCTGAAGTTTCCGTACCGCACGAATATTAAGATTTTATTTATGACATATGAACATATATTTTATACTGCCATGCAGTTCACTACTAAGTCAGGCAGAGGTACAGATGGAACACCACGTACTATGCAGCATACTGAGAAGGGCTACCACGGTAACTTGTCTCTTACTGACAATTTTTCGTATTGTGAAATGTTAGCACGACAGTAATTAAACGGATTTAATTTCTTAGTAACAGAATTATGTAAATAATGCGCTGAAATACATAATAAAACCTTTACTAAATACTAGATATGAACATATGAAGGTTCGGTAAGGTATAATATTGATAGTAAATAGGGGCCTATTTCTTCTTCCATTCTCCTCGTTCACTGCAAGGCCTCTGACGCAAGGAAAAGGCGGACATATATTCCTACACCAAACGGCATTCGAACCCGCGCTCCCTGTGTGTGAGCGGTTCCAGAACGTAAGCGTTCCACATCGCAAGTTCTGTGATCAGCAAAACTGTAATCCCAGAATTCTCTTGATTAAAGAAACTATACTTCAAATACAAAATCCATTACCCAGTAACACTAACATCACTGTCACAGAAATATTCTCTGCTATGAGAAGATAAAAAAGAGAGGAGAAATTTTGCGTCACAAATTGAATTCACGTACCTATGTCTACTTTTCTGTTGCGCCAAGACGTAGTAGTTAATTGTTATCAAGAAATGTGTCATTACCTCGCGCTTAGTGTGTGAAAAGTGGACGTTATCGCCCGTAACACGTTAAAAGCATATGCAGCGCGTGCAATCAAACAGAGTTACCGCTTGTGTTATAACTTTATGACTCCACACGAAAGTATTTTCTTGTTAAAACGACTGGCTTTTGTCAACACCATGACGCTATAATTTGGATTTATTTTGCGGTTACTGGCATGTGTTCGGTCATCTTGAAATCATTTCGTCTCATATTAAAAAATGTCGCGAATTTGTATAGAATTAAACTATTCATGCGAGTCATTTCAAACCTGTTTTACGCGACGCAAAGCGAGCGTACTTCTAAATACGTGTTATAACGGCACTCATCGAAGAAGTCAAGATTTGCACATTAAATATACGTTACTAATAAACGTTACACCAATGGACGGTAGGACCAAGTAAATTTATCTATAAGGAAGCAATATTTAAAATAGTGACACGCACAACAAGCGATCGTGAACATTATAGAAAAATAAATCATTAACTACGTGAAAATAAGCGTTAATTATCGCTGAAATTAATTATGGCTATTTCAAATTATGATATAAAACGTCCGTGTACAATCATGGTGTACAAAGACAAAAATAACACCGTCTAATGTGACTATTTAAGTAATTTTTGTCTTTGTAATTTTTAGTGTGACGGACCAGAGTAAAACAAATTAAAATCATAGCGTATTTAACTACCTTTCATTACGCCAAAAATCCAGTCATGAACCGAATGTATATTAATATGCATAGCACAGGAAAACGTCTACTTCCCTCTTCGTTGTCTTCATAATTTCCCCACTTAAGGAGACACGGCGTTATGATTCTTCGAAAGCAAACATCTTGTGACTTCCACGGCGCTAATATTAGTTGTTTTAACATCATACGGGCCCACTGTGTAGAAAGGCGTTAATAAAGATGCAACAAAAACACGTAAACATTTGTTCTAAGAGACTGATACAATGTCGTTAAGGTGTCCTCGACTTCTCACGGTACAGACTAGCAACAGCACGGCACTTGGTCATTGAAAGGTACGCGGGGAGCGAGTCCTCTAGCCTGACGGCGGCTGGGGCTCTTGTGGCCGCGAGTGCTGCTACTGAATTCCCCCAGTGCGTCCACACGTTACACATGCTGCTCTTATGTTTGATCGGCAATGAAAGGGTCGCAGAATAATATGTACCACTGTCGCGGGCTGTAACACAATTACATTAAACTGTCCACTTATATAAGAATAAGGACCCAACCCTATCAGACTTCTTGAAGCACACGAACACGAGCAGTGTCGGCAACACGGGTCACACTAAAACACACAGGAGATGTGGCAACAGCCCACGCCGGATGCTGGGGGCGTCTGTTCTGACGGACCTCGCGTCTTGGCGGTGGTGGCGGCGTCGGCGAATTACTCACTCATGTTTTCTCGGAACAGGTGTAATACAAGGTCGCGGTGAAGGGAAAACAAACCATTACACTACGCCTCCGGCAGTGACATAACGCACCTCTGCAAATTACCGCGTGGTAAGCAGAAAAAGAAACAGCGTCATGCAAACAGCAACATACTTACCATTGGGTAAAGAGCTGACTAGTCCGTCTTCTGACTCCAAGTGTCGGAGAGGACGAGCTTGTTTCCGGCGTGACATGTTCTTGATCACCGTCCTTGCACAGAACCTCCTCCTTGCTCTTCACGCCCTTTTTGTCTTTAATGATCTGTATGGTCCACCACGATCGCTGGCACCGAACGAAATGACAAACTTCGCTCAAAATTGTGTTCTTCCACCTCCCTTTCTGTCTCTCCCCCTCCTCCACCACCACTCTCCCCTAATTTATCCACATGTCCGCCCCTGTGCGCAGGTCACAATTTATGATTATCAATATTGGCGGCTGGCGATTATGATAATCCCATTCGGCGCAGAGCTCTGTTGCTATTGGCTTGCGCAGCGGCATAAATATGGATATGATAGCTGCGCGGAGAGGCGCGGGGGTGGTTTGTTGTTATGGATGCTGTTGCTGTTGCCCCAACCGCTCACTAGCCTACTGCGGCACCCACTGTTGGGTTGAAGCTCGCTCGCCTACACACGCGCTCCACTATTATACTTGCTTATGAGTGCGCGCGTCAAATAATGTACAGATAGCGGCTGTTCTGTGGGATCGGCGCACAATTACACCGCTCGGCAAACTTCGGGCAGCAATCGGGGAAAGCCCTATAGCTTATGAGGCGGTGACTCGATTCTCGACCGCTGGGAGGCGCACCCTGTCTCATCTGCCTTTTGTGTCACCAACACTCGTAGCACTTATCTCTTTTCGTCAAGAAGATGTCGATTCTTCCACCCCACTCGCTGATATTCGTTAGGTTCGATTCCCGAAAACTCTGAGGCAAGCATTTGGAGACTTACTGCTGCTGTACCGCCGTGACTACAACTTCAAGCACTGGACCGCANACTGCGGTAAGGAACAAGGAAATTTCACATGAAGACTTGCATCTGACTTTAACAGATTAGTGATATTTTCAAAAGACAATTTTACATCTCAACACTATAAAACAACAGGGCTTAAAAACGTTAATTTGAGGGAGAGGTGGAGGCAAGTTTTTTCTGAAAGCAAAATCGTTTACCGTACAGTTTAAACTAAGAAACTTTATAAGAGAAATCACCTGGTCGCAAATTTCGAAGGAAAATAAGAGGGTGAAATCTGATTTCGAAATAGGTCACTGTTAATGGTGATGAATTACAGATAGCCCTGTATATATGTCACATTTAGTTATGACCAGCGCTGGAACAATTCACTTGAGGTCCGAAAATGGAAAATTGCAACGGAGCAGATTTGCACGGTCCAGAATTGTCGAACTTGTATCCGTTATGAACCACGTTCGAATCTCAGCCGGGGAGCAGTTCTTGCCCTTGTTCAATCTTTCCCGAAAGATACACAAATTTACACTAGAGACGGGCTTTCATTTCGTCTTGGGTTTATTCTTATTATCTTTTTTTATTGGTTCAATATTTATTTCTTTGGCCCTCTTTCTGTTGTCTGTTTAATTTTTTTTCGGGCTCGTTTCAGCTCAGATTAATACATTTCTTGAATTTCACTCTTAACTTTGTGTAAAATTCTTGAGGTTGGTCCAAGCAGGTTGCCATTAGGAAGTGCGTCTTCTTTTCAGAGCTTATGCCGTCTGATGCCCACTGTCTGTAAGGATGTCAGCGACTCCATGTTCAGAATGGATTATTTCGACTCCTGACAACTGCGAAATAAGTCACACGAGAAAAAATAAAATAAATTCAATGCAGCCTACTACGAAAACTTTGGAAAAGCCTCCAAATGCAAGGAAGTACATTTGTTGCATATCTGTACATAACGCATGCTTCATTCACAAGACCTGCTACAGGCCTATCTTCCTTGTTCTCCATCTTCTTCTTGACGGAGTTTGTCCCCCGGCCTGTTCCTATTTAGAATTAATTCTTACGTTTTTTTATTGCTAGTAGGGTGGGACCAAGTCCCTTGTACTGCGGCCACTTCTGGCCTATTGTACCAGCCTCAGATGATAGCTGAGGGCGACTGTGGAGCAATTGGTGGAATGAAGATTGGCAGGGGAAACCGAAGTACTCGGAGAAAACCTGTCCCAGCGCCACTTTGTCCACCACAGATCCCACTTGACCAGACCCGGGATCGAACCCGGTCCGCTGAGGTGGGAAGCCAGCGACTAACCGCTTGAGCTATGCCGCGGCCAAATTCTTACGTTAAGAGTCACTCAGAAAATTAGCAGGACCCTTTAGACTGCGGATTGGCCAGCCGCAAGGCCGCTACCTACACAGGAAGAGCACAAGTCACACACCCATATCTGAAACGGAATTTCAGCCCAATTTTTCTACTATGGGAACGAGAGAAGACAATTCGTACATTAGGTCTTGCGGTCGCTGTTATTGACCCTCCTATATCATACTCATGTACTGTAAAACCTAGATTATTTCTCATTCTTGAAGAAATATCCTCTTCTAAACTGCTTCATGGAAGTTCTCTGCAAAAGTATGATAGGATTCTTGGCGCGTGCAAATTACTATTTCGTACAGAAATGATGAAGGTTGTGATAACAACAGGACACTCCGGGGATGGGTGAATATTCCTCACTAAATCTCTTAATCAAATTAGGGAGTGGTACTGCCCATCTAGTCACAGCCTCCAAACTTATTTACTGTATAATTCCAATAAATTACTGCGTTCGTACTCATTTTCTTAATTGCTAAACTAAAGTGGTCCTTATGAAGATGATTTAGTTAGCGCTCTCGCTTCTAGAATCCTGTCCCCCACTTTTAAATGAATCTGGTAGCACAGCTAACCAGAAACAAAGGATATCCTTGAGAAGTGGATAAGTGAGTCAGGCCGGTAATCCTGTGCTGCTCATGTCTAGCCTACGTAAAAGAATTCCCCGCTTTTGAAGAATCCGATAGTTAATATTTGCTTTCAGATAATATATAACCAAATCCTCTCGTTTATGTCTAGGTCTCAAAAATTTGTACTTCATTTAAATTGGCTTTAATGTCTCTCATATGATCCGTCATGTAGGTTTCATACGAAAAAAACGCATTTTCGGAAGCCATTTTGTTTCCGTCTCGAGACAAAATGGTGACGCAACCTGATGGTACTGTTGGAATCCGTTAGGCGCAAGCTCACTGAGACTACTTCCTTCCAAAGAAACAAACGGATTATATCCTATATTTTCCCTGAAGACTGAAGTAGAATCTGCTTCCGAAATATTGCGTTTTCATTATAGAACCTAGGCGAAGCATAATGTATAAGATATTAACTTAAAACTAAGTGTGATCTACCGTTGATATTTAATTTCTATAATTTTATGCAATTTTTGGTTAGCCTATGCGTTCTACATACCCAACGCATATAATATTTCTGACAACAGTTGTATCACATTAAATAAACATATTATGAATCTTCTTATTATGCATCTTATTCAGCTTCCTGTCGCTTCATTCTCCTCGTGTCCAGATATTTTCCTCGACATCCTAATCTCAAGTACTCTTCACAGGACAGATAAAATTGCATTTCTGTATTCTTTCATCTCCAAACTTTAACAGAAATGGAAACATCACGATTTATATGGATGACCCGATATATATATTTTTCATTCTCTTAGTGGGGGGTGGAATCAAACTTGGTCCACTCGGCACAGCGGCCACTGATTGGTCTATTATAGCCTGCCCCGGGTGATTGTGATGATGGATAATTTAGTGGAATTAAGAGGGGCAGGGGAAACGGAAGTACTCGGAGAAAACCCGCCCCAGCGCAACTTTATCTACCACAAATCCCACTTGACCGGACCGGGGGTCGAACCCGGGCCTCCGCGGTGGGAAGCCAACGACTAACGGCTTGAGCTACATGACCGATATTAGTCCAAATTTTGGCAGAAATGGAGCAGATATTACAACCTCTACATACTGATCGAGGCACAAATAGCAAAGCTTCCTCTGGACACAAGGACGCTACTTCATCTATCTCTCTCCGAAGCATCGCGCCCCCTCCAATTTGATTTATGTTTCCGGCATCTTCTTTCTGTAACTGAGAACCGTGAGGTTGCTGGACACAGCTGGGCCCTTAAGTGATGGCAGGGATCTGATATTAATTTTACTTGGGGCGGGGTGGTTTGCGATATCTCGAAAACGGTGTCCCTCGGGAAGAATTCTGTAGTTAATTTATTTTTATGTAAGTTATTTTCGAAGTGCCTTGCACTTCATAGGTGTATCCATCTACGAAATTTCTTTATTAAACTAACAACTCATCGGAAGGCGAGATCTGAAAGCTCAGTTATTGTGGTCAAGTGCCACGCCGAACTTCTTCGCGCTCAGCTGCATTCGTAATTGGTAACACTGATCCAGCAAACACATACTGGCAAGGACCTCCATAGTGACCTCAAGTATTCGATTTCCAATACCACCTCGACCTTTGCGCGTTTCTGTAACAAAGGTCACTGCATGGAAGTATGGTAGAGGAGGAATATCTCTGTGTAAATTCTTTCGTCAGCCTGTCTACTCAGTTTCAAGCTCGAAATTATTTGACGGGTTCCGATTAAATTTGGCATTCGTGTTATATATTAAATATTTTGTTTGCAACCCACTGTAACCCACATAGGAGTCTTAGCTCCAAATTATCCTAATTTGTCAACACGGAGTTCTGGGTAGAAAGTAAAAACCTTTGAAGTCCCTAAAATGATTTAATTTAAAGGCTCAGTTTCGTTTGTGCTGTGATTATTAATCATGCATTTTTGTCATCCATATATGTATGTAATGTGTGTGTGTGTGTGTGGGTGGGTGACAGGCTCAGAACTAAGTTCTTTTTATGTGATATAATGAATCCGCTTCGTGGCAGTAACAAGANCTCCACATTCTTCTAAAATTTGTTATCAGGCAAAATTTCTGAATTCTACACTAATACATTAATACACTAATACGGCAACAGGAGCAATAAAAATGCTCTTGTCTCAAGTTCATATTGATGCTTTCTTCATGGTAGGATATTCTTCTTCGTTCTCCTCCACTCTTATTAGACCCTCTGGCCTGTTTCTCATCAGGATTAACCTGGAACTATGGGTCTCACAGGCAGCTGGTAGGATTCATTGGACGGGTGATAAACCCCGTCGCAAGGCCAGTATTATAGGATATTAAGAAGTATAAGGGCAGGAATTTAATAATCACCATATCGAAAAATATTTGTAGACTCTTTATATTGTCACGTGTGTTAGTGACTAATAACAGGGTTCTTGATTGGCTGAACGGGTTTACTTAATTATGATACACACTACCAATAATTAGACGTAATTTTAGCGCTATCGCTATTTCTGCATTACATAATTCCCTGTTACACACACACACACACACACACTAGTCGCATTCTAGTAACGGAATTAAACACAGGAACTATAAGAGTCTCACTGAATTACACATGAAGTTTTCTCTTCACAGCCACACTCCTAAAACTAACTCTTTTCTTCGTAGCCTCCTCTACAGAGCTGACCTCTCAACTGAACTCTGGCCTAATCCGAGCTACAGGCCGTTGTTATACAAACTCCGAACGGACCACACAGAAAACTCGGCATCTATTAATGATGAAGCTTGTTTACCACTCTGTTATAAGCAATAGATGTTTCACTGTTGCTTGTTAGAGTGTTGCGGGGATGTGTTTGCAGACCCGTTGCATAGCAATGTGTGTCCACTTTTGCATTGTTATACCGGCCTTTTAGGTAGTGTTTACCTAGCCGTTGCTCAGAAACGGCCCATATGTCACAATGTATGTCAGAATGTTTCCCTGTTTTATACGGAGACGCAAATGAATGATATCGCTAGGTTCATGTGCCTTTTTAATCCGAGCATTTTCTATAGTAGCATAATGTTCTTAACAAGTTCCATAACAGCCTTTCAT